GCCATCAGCATCGAGAGGTGTGCATCCATCCTCTGCCCGCTCTGGTACCGCTGCCACCGCCCCCAGCACCTGTCAGGGGTGGTGTGTGCCCTGCTCTGGGTCCTCTCTGTCGCTGTCATTGCCACAGTGACTTCCCTGTGCCTCTTGGATGAGCACCAGCCCTGCCAGGTGTCTCTCATCTCCACGTACATCCTCAACCTCCTCCTCTTTGCTCTGCCCATGGTCATTTCCAGCGCAGTCCTCTTCATTAAGGTCAAATGTGGCTCCCAGCAGCAGCAACCCAGGAGGCTCCACATCGTTATCTTCCTCACTGTCATCTTCTTCCTCATCTTCGCTCTTCCCCTCAGCCTCTTGCATTTCCTGCAGCAGCTCAGCTACTCCTTCGTGTCCTCCCAGGTTGTTTTCCTGCTCGCCTGCATCCACAGCAGCATCAAACCCCTCACTTACTTCTTGGTGGGGAGCTGCTGGAGGTGCTGCTCCCTGGTGTCCCTCCAGGTCTCCTTCCAGAGGGTCTTCGAGGAGATGGAAGAGAACACTGCCTGCAGCAATGGTGCCACCATGGACACGATGGTCCTAGACTGTTGAAGGACCTCGGGACAGTGGCTGAGGGTTTCCCTGAGTCACCAGATTAATAAATATCCACAATATTTCCTCCAGTGTCACCGTCCTGCAGTGTAATCCCACTAATCCCGCCGGAGAGGGGAGCAGGCGCATTGCCAAGGGCAGTGTGGGAGGAATGCTCTGCAGGGAGCATGTTGGAGCACAGCTTTCTCCTCCCTCCTTCCTCCAAGGGAATCATGCCCCATGGGGCTGTGATCCCAAAAATCCCCTGGCACATGATTTCTGCATCCCATTGTGGTCTGATATCAATAAACAGCTTTGTGAACCCTGAGCTTGCCGCTTTCTTCTGGCTCCTGCTGCCAGCCGGGAATGTGGGTAGAGGGAGGGGACACACACAGGGAGGGAGGGGACATACTCATGGTTTGTGCTCCCTGCAGCACGAATGATCCCCACAGCCCACAGCTGGGACTGCACGGGCACAGCCGGCATGGACAGGGTGGCCCAGGGGTTCCATGTTCCCCCCCGGCTGTTCTGTGAGTGTCACAGCAAAGATCTCCCCAAACATCTTTTATTTTTAATTTTGTGAGCCAGGTGTAAGTGTAAAGGGCTCTTTTCCTTCGGAAATTCCCCCTCTACCCTGGCTTCAGCTTCTCCTTCAGCAGACTCGGATGGTGCAGCAGCAAAGGGAGGGGGAGTTCGCGGTCCCCAGCCCGGCTACCGCCTTCCAGGAGCAGAGTGACAGTGTGTTTGTCACCACGGGCTCCACGGGGCATTACCCACCTCCCCTGTGGCTTTGCCGAGGTCGCCAGCCCTGCCCAAACCCACACCTTCCCAGCACATCTCACACTTTCCCTCCAGCCCCACCACATCCCACACCTTCCCAACAGCCCCC